GAGGTGGGTGTTGGTCTCTTCTCCCAAGTAACAAGCGATAGGACGAGAGGAAACGGCCTCAAGTTGCGCCAGGGGAGGTTTAGATTGGACATGAGGAAAAATGTCTTCACCGAAAGCGTTGTCAAGCATTGGAACAGGCTGCCCAGGGAAGTGGTAGAGTCACCATCCCCGGCGGTATTTAAAAGACGTGTAGACCTGGTGCTCAGGGACGTGGTTTCATGGTGGACTTGGCAGTGCCAGGTTAACGGTTGGACTCGATGATCTTAAAGGTCTTTTCCAACCTAAACGATTCTACAATTCTGTGATTCTAAAAGCGGATTATTTATCCGAGCACTTGTGAGCATGATGTAATGTGCGAATGCCCGTGCAAGTAGTCAGTCGCTACTTTGCTCATAATTTGGTTCTGTTTGTGTAAATATAACACCGCATCTAGTCTGTTCTTTTTCCTTTTCCAAAAGCATCACCATATTCCTTGTCTAAGCAGCAATTCTGAGTTAAATTATGTGCTTTTTTTGGTTAGGCTACTAATTTTTTTGCTTCATCAACCAGTAAATTACTGCAATATTGGACTGTTACAAACCTGGCCAGCACGGTTGGTTTACGCTCTAAATTAAGCTGAGTAAATACATGAGTTTCGTAGTAGTAGGGGAAGGAATTTTTACAATTGCTTGTTGTGGATCCGTGCTTACAGAGGTCTGTGAGCATTTTAGCTTTTGTTTGTCCCATATTTCAATTTGGTCTGTTAAGGTAGAAGTACATTTCAACGTAATTGTTCTCTTTACATTTTGTACCGTCCTGGGAGGGAAATCCTGCTCTGGCTCTGGAGCAGTTGTTGTTTGCTTTATTTCATATTGTTTTCCCAAAAGAGAAAAAACAAGAGAGAGGCTGAAAAAGCTGTCCACTACTCTTGGATTTTGCTTCACAGCATACTAGAAAGGAAGGATACTGGGACTGAAGATGCAGCTTTCTTTTTGGCAAATCCCTCGCCGCAGCAAAAATCGAGTACGCCGCTCCAGCCTTCTGGTTCGCCAGCAGAAATGTCTGAACGGCCAGCTCCTCACGTGGTTTCCGAGGAAGAGCTGAACCTTGTTCGGACGTGCCTGCAGCGATGGAGAAACGAGATTGAACAAGACGTGCAAGGTTGGCCCTGGATGTATTTGTTGTGGTTTTTCTGTTGAACGCCAGCCTGATTTCCCCTCTGTTGCTTCACCTGGATGAGTCGTGATCCACAACTACTCTTGTGCAGGCTTCAGCCCTGGCGTTAAGTGTATTTGCTAGTTACTGCGTGGCTTCAAACTTTTCGAAGTGAACGGGGCCAGCGTAGCCTGATGAGTAGTCATTAATTGTGACGCGTTTCTCTCCTTCGTGACGTTCTTGGCAGATCTGAAGGAGTCTATTACCAGAATCAACCTGTCCATTGAACGGATGTACTGCGACCCTCTCCTCCAGCAGGTAAGAAATGCAGCTTCGTTAGGTAAATATTAAACTGATGTGGCCGATACTGTTTTTTGTCAGCAGCCGTCAGTTTAAGTTGTCCGCCTTACTGTATTTAAAAAAATCCCAACGTTATGATGAAGCAGAGAAAGGATTCTGTATGAAAGTCTTGTTGCTTTTTCCCTTAAAAGCCAGTTCTCACTTAGTAGGAAATGTACCATATGAATCGAGAGTCTTGTACCAGGCTGCAGCTATGAACATATTTGCAATTTTCGTACAGAGGTCGGACAAATTCATTTGCTAAAAGTACGTCTGCAAACTATGTCCATGTGAACTTGCAGGTTCCCTATCGTTTGCACGCGGTCTTGGTACATGAAGGGCAAGCAAATGCTGGTCACTACTGGGCCTACATATACGACCAGCCTCGAAAAAGCTGGCTCAAATACAATGACATCTCGGTGACGGAATCGTCGTGGGAAGAATTGGAGCGAGATTCATTCGGAGGCTTGAAGAATGCCAGTGCCTACTGCCTGATGTACATAAGTGATAAGGTGTCCCGCTTTGTTGCAGGTACTGGAGCCAAATCTGCTGGTTAATTAGACATTTGTGTATTATCGTGTCTCTCTAGCCTGCGTGATCGTTACGTTCCTCAGCTTCTCTTTGGCACAGTTGTCTTTTGACTGCGCAAAAAACTTCACCCCAGATAGAAGTGAAATAATTTGCTCCGTACTCGATTCACTTCTAAATCCCTGATAGGGTTGAAAACTGAAGAAAGAACTGCACTGGTGAGATTAGGTACAGTACTTTATGTATTATTAACGTGTATGAATATTCAAGCTCCCCATTCGCCGCTTTCAACATGCATCTACTGCTGGTGTTTTTCACTTTGACTCTTTATACAGTTTATATGCCAGTGTTTCTTTTATAAGGGCACGTGAAACGCCTCCTACTTTATTTCTCCCATTTTTATCACCCTTTCCGACTTGTTGGCTTGTTTTTTAGCGATATCGCTATATTGAACCTAAACGGGCTCTTTTTTTACGCAGCCTTTCCTAGCGCATGAGTTATTGGTAACAGTGGCTTAGACTTGCAAGTATGTTCGCAGTGCCAATGTATAAATAGTTATGTGGAGAAATTATCGTGCACGTGGCACTATACATGGCAAACAGCTGTAGAAGAACCTAATAATTTCACGCGTGGTTCATTCTGATGTAATAAATAGCAAGAAACAATGGCGAACTGGCATTCTGTTCATTGCTAAATGTGGCTGATGAGGATCTGGAGGTTGTTCTTTGTCTGTTCTCCTATGGCAGTTCCGTTTCTGCAATGAACCCATGATTTCCCCCCCCCCCCCGCCATTTAATGCATTTTTTGTTGTTTTTCAAAGACACTTTGCTTTTACAACAGGCGCATAAGAAATATCTGGCGTAGAGAATTGCCATTTGCTTTTGATAAATTTTAAGACTTGTCTAAACCTGATACTGCTTGGGTTTTGTGCAGTTTTAGAACTGAATACTGAAGTAGATCTAAAAAGTGCTGAGAAATACCAGCGTGACACTCACGCTATGGAATCCGTCCAGCTCCCTACCTTTATACGCTATGTAGTGTTGTAGATACGACGTCTCCAGCTGAATTGTGAATTTTCCGGCTACTGGCAGTTTAAATACAGTTTTCTGTTGTTGTGGTTTAACCCGGCAGGCAGCTAAACACCACACAGCCGTTCGCTCGCTGCTCCCCCCCTGCCCCCGACAGTGGGATTGGGGAAGAAAATTCAGAAGGAAAAAAAAAAAAAGAGTAAAATTCGTGGGTTGAGATAAAGGCAGTTTAATAGGACAGAAAAGGAAGGGAAAATAATAATAATGATAAAAGAATATACAAAATAAATGATGCACAATGCAGTTGCTCACCACCCGCCGAGCGATGCCCAGCCAGTCCCCCAGCAGCGGTCCCCGCCCCCCGGCCAGCTTTCCCCCAGTTTATGTACTGAGCATGACATTATGGTATGGAATATCCCTTTGGCCGGTTTGGGTCGGCTGGCCTGGGCCCCCCCCCCTTGAGTGGTGTAAGCACTGCTTAGCAACAACTAAAACATCGGGGTGTTATCACATTATTCTCATCCTAAATCCAAAACACAGCACTGTACCAGCTACTAGGAAGAAAATTAACTCTATCCCAGCCGAAACCAGGACGCCTGTACAGTGGTAGCCCTTGAACAAGGATGGATTTCTGACCTACTGCATCAGCAGGCGCTGTTTCTGGAATTTCTCCGTGATAAATGCCGTCCAGTGGTAGAACCAAACTGGTTTTTGTTTCGGATAACTATCGATTCGTCTTTACTTTTGCACTTTTGCTTATGAGCCATCTTGAATTCCAAAGCTAGTAGAAAGTTGCTTTTTTTCCCCATTTATCCCTCGGCCAATTTGATTGTGGCTTTCCATAATATTGCGTATCTGTTTAGTCTCTAATGGCGGTGTCCTGCTACTGTGTGTTTTGTTATATGCCGGTCCTGCATTTCTTCCAGACAAGGATGATGGTTCAGAGGTTGGACAGTTTGAGAAGGAAGTTGAAGCCTTGCCCCCGGAGCTGAGACACTACATCCAGGAGGACAACTGGCGACTCGAGCAGGAGGCCGAGGAGTGGGAGGAGGAGCAATCTTGCAAGATTCCTCAGATGGAGCCTTCACCTGCTTCTGAGTCGCAGGACCTCTCTTCTGAATCAGGACCAGGTAATACCAGGTCTGAGTTTGCAAACCATGTTGAAACCAGTAACAGCCAGCTGGCCAAAACTACCGCTGTGTCGGAGCCTTGCATAAATTTCTAGGTATCGAGGAGAAACTGTTGATGAGGTAGCAAAGGCAGCTGGTGGAGGCTCTGTCCTGGCAATACGGAAGGCTATTCTGCTATTTTTGCATGTGCGTCCTTCCAGGCTTGTCACCAGAAATGCTATTTTCCATTCATATAATCATAATGGGCTAATCTCATTTCACTTCCAGACCTTTTTTTTTTTTTTTTTTTTTTTTTTTTTTTTTTTTTTTTTTTTTTTTTTTTTTTTTTTTTTTTTTTTTTTTTTTTTTTTTTTTTTTTTTTTTTTTTTTTTTTTTTTTTTTTTTTTTTTTTTTTTTTTTTTTTTTTTTTTTTTTTTTTTTTTTTTTTTTTTTTTTTTTTTTTTTTTTTTTTTTTTTTTTTTTTTTTTTTTTTTTTTTTTTTTTTTTTTTTTTTTTTTTTTTTTTTTTTTTTTTTTTTTTTTTTTTTTAATAAATATCGAGTAGAAAATGTTGGAGTGCCGTCCTCTGGAGCGGGAAAGCGTTACTCGGCAATCCCTGATGGTGTGTGCCATACCCGCGGAAAAGGGGTACGCACAAGCTCACGGTGAAATGCCTTCACCTCTGGGATGAACGCAGCAGCTGTTTAATCCTGCATAGACAAGCTACACAACATTTGAGAACGAGAGAGGAGAAGAAATCTTGCCGTTCGTGCTCACTAATACCACACCTCTGTCCCAACAGATCAGTCTTCAGTCTGTGAGCAGAGCGTGCGCTCGCTCTCCTCTGAACACGCCATGATTGCCAAGGAGCAGACTGCCAAGGCCATTGCAAACACCGCCGACGCCTATGAAAAGAACGGTGTTGAGGCAGCTCTCTGCGAGGTAGGAGCTGGGCCCTGGCCCAGGAAGCAACCCGTTCATGTGTCTCTATTATTCTCCTTGACAGACCTTTGCTTTTTCCATTTCTGTGTAATTCTGTAGCTGTGCCACATTGCACTCGGTCCCCTTTTGCTTTCCTGTGTTTTGCTTTGGTTTTTCTTACTCCTTTTCTTCTTTTTCTTCCTGGCCACAGCCCAAGGAGGTAGAACCAGTGAAGGCCCAACCGGGAGACACAGCCCTTACAGTTCAGGCAGAACAACCACAGGACGCTAAGGAAACAGAGTCTGCTGCCCAAACTAGCTCACAGGTCTCTGAAGTGGAAATCCCCAGCGTGGGGAAGATTCCCGTTAGATCCGATGCAGACGGATATAACGAGGAGGTACAGATCCCAGTGCAGGGGTTAATTACGGCCGGTCGTTAACCTATATCTTTGTAGTTAGCTGGCTTTGAGCTTTCCCAGGATTGGGTGCGATAGTAGTCTGTCACGGAAACAATGCCATTTGCAAAGTACGTGTTCCCACTGTGGAAACGAAGGCGGCCAGACCAAATCGTTCGGTAATTTCGTTTCTAAACGCCATCAGGAAAGCAGCTCTGTAAAAGCGCTCAATCGTTAGATCTGCACGTTGTTCCTTGAAGTCGTCTTTCTGGCACAACTGTATCAAAATCGATCCTAGTGGCATTAATTTATTTGCAAGCCTCTTTACTGTCTTCAGTTAGAGTTTCATCCCCTCTCTCAGAGAACATTAACCGCTAATGGCATAACTGACAGTAGCCTGGCTACTGATTTTTTTGAATCCGACTGTTTAACCGCACTCATACGTACTCAAGCGGTGTTTTGGAAGTTCAGTCTTTTTCACAAGTGCGGTCAGACTTCACATAAATACCGAGACCGTTACTCCTTGAGTACGTTTAACATATGCTCGTGTGAAGTTGGCACAACGAAATGCTCTGCTGCGAGGCACTGCTCTCTTACGTGTATTGCTTCAGAAGATTGAATGGGACACGGAGGGGTTCTGGCTAGCGTGCTTTACGTTCTCGCTTGCTGAATGTACAAATTCAGGGCTCGGAGTGACCAGCCTTTAGACCTTTAAGTGCTTAAAAAAACCCTGCATGTAAAGTGCACGTGATAGGTGGAGTAAGTAGCATACAAGTAAATCGCAGCTGTGGCTTATTCCACCTGTATTCATACGATTGCCTGTAAACCTTATCTTTCGAAAATTTATTCCTTCCTTCACCGTGCCTTCTCTTCTTTCCCTGTCTGTTACCGTTTTCCTTGTTCTTGTTTGTGCTTCTTTTCCTGCTTCCGTGGTAGGTGATGCTGAGTCCGGCCATGCAAGGTGTCATCCTGGCTATTGCAAAAGCCCGCCAGACCTTTGATCGAGATGGGTCTGAAGCGGGGCTTGTTAAGGTATCTTATTTGTTTGCTAAATCCAGTAGTATGGATGTCTGCTTTCACGGAATGAAGAATCTATGCTATATTGACCTAATCGAGAATGCGAAGGGAGTGATTTGTGCAGGGTTTTTTTTAGTTAATGGCCTCTCTGTCCTGCATTTCTGTTTCTGCTCTCGTATTGTGACAACACGTCCTTCAGTTCCAAACAATTCTTAGAGCCTGTAAGAGCTCCCTCCTCCCAGGAGAAACAGCAGCCTTTTTTTTTTTTTTACTTTCCACTATTTATTCTGCTTATTCTTTTAGTATTGGTAATTCTCTCTTGATCTGGATTATAAAACGTAGACTTTCTCTGCGTGCCTTTCAGAATCTGTTGTCTAGGACCGCAGTGCGATCGTCAGAAAATAAACCAGCACTCATGAAATTTTCTTTTTGGTCCTGAGCGTGCACGCTTACTGCGACCTCTCTTGTAAAATGTGTCCTCAAGAAACGTATGCGTTGAACAGAGGGATTTGAAAGAATAAGCACTGCTGAATACTGAACCTGGTGGTGTTAGATTTTACAGGCAGGTAGATTTAACTAAAAACGCCGCATGGGAGAAATCGCCCGTGCTATTACTCTACGGGAGTACAAATCACAAGAGGCTCTTGCGCCTTACTAGAGACACAAGCGTGTTACAATCGATGTGGACAACCTCAGCACTTGCAAGAGGATTACCAAGGCTGTCTAAGGCAGCTATACGCCCCCCTCTCTCTGAAAGGCATTTCGCCACCTCGGGGCTCGTGAAAAGCGCACGCTTCATGCATGTGGTTTGCCTTGGTGTGGATGCCTTTTGTTTGTAGTTCCAGGTGTTCGTAGGCTTCCGTTCACCGCTAGAATATAACCAAGCAGCGGAGGCTAGGTATCGCCCGCGGGAATCCCATCGTTGCAGGACGGGTTTAAGCTTCGTATCGGCTGCTGCGGCATTCCCACGGCAGGAGAGTGGAGGTGTGAGTACGTGCGTCTCGTTGGCAGGCGTTCCACGAGGAGTACTCCAGGCTCTACCTGCTCGCCAAAGAGACCCCGACCCCTCAGAACGATGCCCGGTTGCAGCACGTGCTCGTTTACTTCCTGCAAAACAATGCTCCCCAGCAGGTGGTGGAACGGACCCTTCTTGAGCAGTTTGCGGACAAAAACCTCAGCTACGACGAAAGGTTTGTGCCGTGGATTCCGAGATGAGGCTTTTCTCATCTGGAAGCAGCCGGGGCCGTTGTTCTGATTTTCTCCATCTCTGCTTACACGGAGCAGGTCAATTAGCATTATGAAGGTAGCACGAGCAAAGCTGAGAGAAATCGGTCCTGACGATGTCGATATGGAGGAGTACAAGGTAAGGGACCAGAGGGCCGCCTCTGATCGTTCGCGCTGTCACAACTGGTGCTGTCCAAAGCAGCACGTGGGAAGCGGGGAGCGCAGCGGGGAGCGCGGCGCGGCACCAGCCAATGTAGCAGTCGCTGGCGCGCCTGTCGGCAGCTTCCTTGCCGTCTGAAGCGCGTGTCTGCAGAAGGATGCAGAAAGGGAGAAGGAATACACTGGAAATCTCCTGAGCTTTGAGGAATGTCCGTGCAGTTGACTAAATTGATGTATGTGTCGCTTATGAGAGATGTTTAAACCCTTCGAAGGGTAAAATCTGATACGCTTTTGAGTTGCGAAGGAATGTCAAACGCGCGTGTGCTTGTTACGGGTGAAGCTGACGCTCAGCTTTCTTGCTGCTCCTCAACAGAGATGGCACGAAGACTACAGCCTTTTTCGCAAGGTGTCAGTTTACCTGCTGACAGGGTTGGAGCTCTACCAGAATAGAAAGTAAGTTGCTTTTAATTATGTGTTTGGATGAGATAAGCTATAGCCTAGAAATAGAGGCCGCTGTGACAGAACTCCTCCTTTCTGACCCGCGATGGCCAGTTTGAGCTCAGTCTTGTGTTTGAGGCCAATGGGCTTTCTTTTTGACTTGCTGATCACCCTTTCTCGAATCCACAGCCAACCTCGGTTAACAGTTTAAACATTATGATGAGGTACTAGCTAGTTTCTTAGAGCTTCCCCTAATTTTTCCCTCTCTGAAGCAGAGCTTGGTATTTTCATTTCCGGAGATGGGTTTGCAGGAGTGATTGCCGTCACTTACTTCCCCCCACCCCAGCTTTGGACTCCTGTATTAAAATTAAACTGTCTTGAATTGGACGTTCTACGTTGCGCAAACACAGGCTTTGGAGTTCTCTAGACTCTCAAGAATTTGAAAAGGGCCTTTTTTTCTCCCTACTGTTTCAGAACCTGTATTTTACATAAATAGTGCAGTATGGAGAAGGACAGTGCCATTTTGTGAAAGGTTTGTAGTTTGAAAAGTATTTTTCCAATCCGGAAAACAAACTGGCTTTCAGAAATTATTCATGGATGGAAACAGAATTGAATTCTGAGGCGGTTACCAGCGATGAACTGCCAAATTCAGGTGGGCACATTGACGAGAGGCTGGGCGAGAGCGCGTTAGAGCTTCCCTGAAGCGACCTACTCTCTGTCAGCTGTTCTCTTTTCTCACCAGGGGTTTATAAGCTAGAAATATGTAAAGGAACTGAAAACGTGACCACCTTGCACGTCTTTGAGCACTCTCCCAAAGTGCAAAGTTCCTGGAGCAATATGGAAAAAGGTCTTCATGCTCAGGCTAAGTTGTACACCAACTTGGCTTTCAGGGGCTCTTCCTAAGGTGCTCGTTTGGCACACTGGGCAAAAAGGAACGTTAATTGCTTGACACAGGGCGTCTGTTCATTTTTGGCAAGGAAATAGAGTTTCTCCTGTCGGGCCTGATCCTAGTGACCATTCGGGCCGAATGGAGAGTTTTTCCCGAGCTGCCACGGCTGACTGCGCTGCAGCTGTGACCCTGGCAGAGCCTGTGGGCTGGAGAGCTGACACTCTTCTCCTAGGTTCCAGGAGTCGCTCACCTACCTGGTCTACGCCTACCAAAGCAACACCAAGCTGCTGGTGAAAGGAACCAACAGAGGAGTGAACGAGTCGCTGATTGCCTTGTACAGAAGGAAGTGTCTCCTGGTTTGTATCGAGGAGCTCTACGCTCGTTCTTAGAGAGGAGGGGAGGGAGCAGCCTGGGTGATGTCGGCTCCTGTGGCGCGGTTCACTTACCGGCTGCTTGGCGTGCATTGCCCAGGGAATCGGACCGTACCACGTCCCCTGTCAGGAGCAGGCTCAGTTAACGTGCTGCATTTTCAGGGAAGGTTCGGATGCTGCTGAACGTGCTCTTGGGTTTTAACTCGGTGCTCGCGTTGTTAACTCAGTGGTTGCATCGTTTTCTGTCCATTCGCTTCCTCCCCCCCCAGTATTTATTTCTAATATTAATGGCTTTCTCTCTCTGAGCGCAAGATGATGTCCTTTTCCACCGGGGCGAAAAACCAGCATAAAAATGACGTTTTGTTTTTAGTTCACGGTCCATGGTTGCCAAGCCCGGTGTAACTCTCTCTCTTGCGCCTATTACCGTGGCTTCTGCCCCTTACTGAGTACCAGCAAAGTAAGTAGTATAGAAATCTAGGAAATAATAATTCAATGAAAGAATGTGCCATACGGCTCTCGGGGAATCTGGGTAAAGGCGGATCTGGATCTTGGCATCTTAAAACCAGAATTGTAAACAAGCTATCTGTACTCTGTACGTATATATAGTAAGTGACACCTATGTATATGAATATGTATATATTTATCAGTTTGTTTCCTGTGGTGCGATTCCTGTGATTAAAGGTGGCTATTCCACCAGAACCTGGCGCCCGGTTCTGTTAGTCGCTGCGTGGCCATCGGTGAAGGGGCCCGAGCTGCGTGCCTTTCCCGACAGCATGCTGGTTACCTGAGGTCCGTGCTTGCTTTTTGAAAGTCTCTCCCCTGATTCTCCCTCCTCCCCTAGAAGCTGAACGAGGTGGCAGCATCTCTGTTCGTAAGCTGTGAAGAAGCTCGTGTGGCAGAGGGCATTACCATCCTGAACGAGCTGATCATCCCCTGCATGCACCTCATGAACAACTTCGAGATCTCCAAAGAGGACCTGGATGCCATCGAGGTCATGAGAAACCGCTGGTGCTCCTACCTGGGACGAGAAGACATGGACGGTAGGGAACGGCTGCCGGCCTGCCCTTTGTCATGCTGTTTGTGGGCAGGGCAGTGTCTAGATCCGAACTAGAAAGGAATTACAGGACCGTTTAAAACACTTCCTGAGATCCCTGGCGTTTGCACTGTAGCACGTCGGGGTGCTTCCGACTCTGAGAGGAGGAATGTGTTTGAATCATCCGTTGAATTATGCCGTAGAGGAATTTAATCTTCTTTTGCATTAAAGCTGCAGAAGAAGGATTCCTCTTCCCTGAAATGCGAAAAGCCAATTTCAAAAGAAGGGCTTAGCGTTACCTTAGAAGGGTTTGGGGTTTGGTTTGTCTTTCTGAACGGAGGGTTCCCCATAGATGGCAGGTGAACGCTGGCAGGCTGAGTTGCAGAGGCATGCTCCTCTTCGGGAGGGAGGAACAGGTTTTACCTGTGGCCAGAAACATGGCCAGCGTTACAGGAGACTGGATGCGGGAGCAGATTCGGAGGATCTTTGCATTTTGAAGAGAGGTTTGTCATTTTATGGCTGAATTTCGGTTCTGGATAGCTGTTCTTGTTCTGTATTTCCTTCTGCAGTCTGGAGTCGGGCTCCCACGACTCCTCTCAGGTCGTTTTTGGTACGAGAAATGGGTTTCGACCCCCTTGATCTGTGTCTGAAGGTTTGGGGAGTCATTTAGCAGATTCGGAGGATCTTTGCATTTTGAAGAGAGGTTTGTCATTTTATGGCTGAATTTCGGTTCTGGATAGCTGTTCTTGTTCTGTATTTCCTTCTGCAGTCTGGAGTCGGGCTCCCACGACTCCTCTCAGGTCGTTTTTGGTACGAGAAATGGGTTTCGACCCCCTTGATCTGTGTCTGAAGGTTTGGGGAGTCATTACAGGGGTTTTGTCATTAGCAGGGGGTAAACTTGCCCCGGGAGAATAAGGCAAAACCACAGAGGTTTATTCTCAAAGCGCTGTTGTAAAGAACAAAAGTTGGATAAATGTATGCTAATAGGCAAGTTTCCCGTTCTTGGCCTTGCCGCAACGGCGTTTACCCACGGGGAAGATTTTAAAGAAGCAGAAGGAGGCTGCTTGCACCTCCCGGGTCACGTGAGCTAGCTCGAGCGTCACCCCCTTCTGCCTGCGTTCCTTCATCCGAAGTGCCTGTCCTTTAACGCGCGGTCCGGTGGCACCGGTGTGGCCTGCTCCTGGGGGACAGTCCTTTACCAGGACCGGACAATGCCTCCTCAGTACGGGCTGACCTGCCGAGGTCTGAGACGTTACGGGCTGTAAAGCGCGCTCTGTTTCCTTCAAATGCCAAATCAGTATTTGAGCGTCGCCTTGAAACACGTAGTTACTTCTGACTCGCCAGCCGGTACAGCGCCTTTGCTGGGAAAACGCGATACCCTGGTGGGACGTGGCACTGTCCCCGGGGCAGCCAGGTGGCAGTGGAGCCTTCCCTCTTTACGAGCCCTGGGTAGGTGGGCAGGACTTGAGGACTGAGTGAGACCCAGGCCGGCAGCTGGTGCGACGCCTCCTCTGCCTCGGCAGACGCTGCTCATCCCTGCCTGGGGGAGATGGGCGGTTTTCAGCGCTGGGAGACGGTTCTCTGAAAGGCGTCGTAGCTTTTTAGCTCGCGGCCCTGGAGCCCTCTGCCATCTGGTCTTTTACTGTTGCGGTGCCACTGACTGTTTCATCCTCTCCCCCTTGACAGCGAAACTGCAGATGAAGCTGGGCGAATTACTCCCCCGGCTCCTCGACTGCTCCACCGAGGTCATTGTTCTGAAAGAGCCCCCGAAGATCCGGCCCAACTCCCCCTACGACCTCTGCAGCCGGTTTGCAGCCGTGATGGAGTCCATTCACGGGGCCTCGACCGTGACTGTGAAATAGACCGCGGACTCCCCGCCGTGGCGTGGTACACACACCGCAGGCCGCCTGCCTGCCCGGGGTCCTCCCGTCGGGCAGCGTTTGAAAGGGAGAGGGAAGAGAAAGGGGCGATTCGGCTTCAGAGCTGTGTTCTTTGTAAATACGAACGAATAAAAAGCAGTATTGCACTTTTGAGATAAAACGTTGAGCGGTAACGCGAAGGACCTGAACCACTGTGCTAGCGTGAGGCGCCGGGTCCCTGGCAGCACCGTCCCCTGCCGTGGGGTCCCCGGGCCATCTCAGGAGGTTCTTCTGTTCTGGCAGCTCTCTAGACGCGGGTCCCTGGGCCTGTGACGGCAGCAGAGCAAGAGACCGGCTCCTCTGGTGAGCCGGGCTGCGAGCTGTCGTTGATCTGTCAGACGCATTTACCTCTACCCGAATGATCAGAGATTATACATTCAGATCTTGCCAAGCGCCTGCTAGCAGGAGTCCGAGTTGTGTGATCGGGAGGCGGAGGGGAACGGTGGCTCACGCTCTCTACCGTGGGGGCAGTCACGCGTGCAGCCGCATATCTTGGTCGAGTCAAGCGGGCGTTTGCCTTTTGTATTTTAAAAGACAATATGCAGGAGTCTTCCTCTGAGGAAGGCACGAGCAATTAGTGGCAGCAACAGGAGACGGGACGGGGCTGTAAAGATTGTCTCCCGCACAATCGTGCTACAGCGATAGCTTACCGGTTGTTGAGGGAGATCACGCCGCCCCAAAGGATATTCCCCTCTCGGATCGGAAGGCAAACTTCCTTCTCGCCTCTGGTGGATTTTTCAGTGCCGGATTAGTGTTGATGACAACTGCGAGGGCTAGAATCGGCTCCTTTTTTGTTGGTGGTGGGGTTTGGGTTTTTTTTTTCCAGTTGACTTTCTGTAAAAAATGTGCCCCGTTTGCATTTCCTTTTGGGGGCAGCCTGTACTTGGCGTTTGAGCGGCGGGCGGCGGCAGGTGTTTTAAACCAAATGTTCTGAGTGGAGGGGGGGAATCCTGTTTGTTAGGACTATGCAGGTTTTTCTAGAAGTGCAATAAAAGCCTTTGTTCTATGTTAGAATGAAAAAGCTCCCTCCGTGTTTTTATTTCGCTCCGGTGCTATGCCTTAAGATTCCTCCTGGCTTCAAGACGAAGAAAGGGAAGGAGAAAAAAAAAACCACCAACCTTGGCAAAGTAACGCAGAAACTTCTGCAGCTTGATGAAGCTCCCAGGTAGGCAGGACGGGGCGCGGGCTCGCGAGCTCATCTTGGGTCTCCTGCGAAGACAGCGGGGCGCTTGGGAGCTGCTGGGACAGGAATTTTGTATGCTTTAGCAGCAAAACAGGCGTAACGCAGAAACTTCTGCAGCTTGATGAAGCTCCCAGGTAGGCAGGACGGGGTGCAGGCTCGCGAGCTCATCTTGGGTCTCCTGCAAAGACAGCGGGGCGCTTGGGAGCTCCTGGGACAGGAATTTCGTACGCTTTAGCAGCAAAACGGGTGAGTCTGGTGACTCGGAGCGTAGCTAGGCTTGGAGCAGGCGTGCAGAGAAGCGTGTTGGGGAGAGGCTGGGAAGGCAGGTCCTGAGGAAACGTCTGTGGTCGTTATCGATGCTGGGAGGTTTCTTTCGAGTCTTGTTCTTCGGAGCAGAGAATCTGTTCTGGAGCCCTTTCCCGTTGCAAGCCGCGCTGCGTTAACCCGTGGGGTTTCGGAAGAGGGAGTCTGCCGTTCCCAAGCAAGCAGCAGTAGAGAAGCATTCGCATTAAACTAGTAAAGAGGAAGGAAAACCGCACTCTTCCTGTAGCCAAAAGCTCTGTTTTCTTTATTAACTGGGGAATTGAAACGTTTCATTACGTACCGAGCCGCTAACGCGAGCCTATGTTATAATGGCACCCTTCTACCTGCTGCTGCTGGCATCGCTCTGACAAAATACAGGTTTCTTGTCAGCAGCGTAGGAAGAGGGGAGAGACACACGCACGGGTGAGGTTTTTTTTCCCAACAAATTAGACAGATGTTTCTAGGACTCGTTCCTAGTGCAAAATTTGTTGTAATTAGCAGAGCGGAAATTGTCAGCACGGTCCCACCGTCCCGTCGGTGCGCGTTTCCCCGTTATGTAGGAATAAACAGCTCCCGTGGGAGAATCTTGCATTCTCCCAGTTGTTTGCGATAAAGTGGAAGCGCCGTTATCTGCAGAGACCCAAGCTGCCTGTGTCCAAACAGTGAGCCGTGTCCAAACAGTGAGCCGTGCCTCTTCCAGGTAACGGGATGCTGTGGAGCCGGGGCTGCTGCTTTCTCGGCGTTTTTCCCCGCTGTCGTGACGGAGAGCGGAAGGAGATGAGGCCTCCAACTTACTCCTCGGGGTGCTTTGACTGCAATGAGTGAACAGGTTGAACTTTTGAACAGAGACCCCGGGGCCGTGACACCCCATGCTCGGTCACTGCGCTCACTCCTCCCAGCCGGCAGACGGCTCGGAATCTCTAGACAGCTTTTGCAATGCTCTTGCATCATTCCGACTTGCAGGTGAGGAGGATGTGGTTTGGGGAGAGAATCCTGAATTAGGAGAATCAGGTTATTCCCACCGTTGCAAGACAGTAGCTCTGCCCCGTTCTTTCTGTTGCTGCCAGCAAGTGAAATATCCAGCCGATGTCCAAAGCCTGCTTTAAAAAAAAAAAAAAAAAAGCAAAGACTTCTCACGAGTGCAGGCCGATACCTGGAACGTCGTGATAGTTGGATCGGGCTGGAAGGGAGGAGTGTCCCGAAGCTGGAAACCTTTGCTGGGTGTCTTGTCCTCCCGTTTCCCAAGGGCGTGGGTGACAGGGTGCAGCCAAAACACTCTCTCTCTTTGCTTTCTGGGTTGGTCAGACCTCTCCAGGGCAGCTAACAGCGGGTGCAGGTCTTTGGAAAGCACGCTCGCTCGCCAGCCAAGAATGCCGCCCTCCTGTTTTGCCTCCCTTGATCTTCATTAGGAAGGACTGAGCACCGGCCTCTCCCCTCTTAACTCTCCGCAGGACCGGCCGTGCCCCAAGCCCAGGCAGCGTGAGAAACGCCTGGGGATAATCTCTTGTCTCTCTCCCCCTGCCCACCGGCTCCTTTCTCTCCTCTTCAGCTGAGCAAAGGGCAGGTTTCAAAAGGGGACTTTGGGAGGAAAGCGGCCTTTGCTTCCCCCAGGAATGCCGGTGTTGGCTGGGGGCTTCCTTGAGTTCGGTCACGCGCCGGCGGCTCTTAGCCTGCAGGGATTAAACCAGCGGTGAACTCGGTTTTTAACCAGTGCTGTAGCAGCGGCCTGGCTTCTGTCGGGACTCCGGGTGTTAATCCAGCCTGATGTTCCGTGCTGCTGGTCGCGCAGAGGCGTGCGAGCAGGCTTTATTTTTTCACAGCTGAATCGGGAAAATGTGGAAGAAACGGTTAAGGACACCCGCAAAACACCGCTCTTGCCTCTTGTGCACAGGTGAACGATACAGTTGAGGAACTTTCCACACGAAGGTCTGTGGCACGCTTACGGCTTCATCATCTTAGCCATGAGAAGATGAGGCTACTGCAGGGGATGCGGCCGCTGGCATCCTGCCTCTGCAGCAGGAGCGGTCTTCGGCACCGCCTCGTCTCTCGTTTTCCCTCTCCCCCTTGTTTGCCACCTTGCTCTCTCTCCCCCCCCCAATCTTTTCCGGACAGACCAAAGCATCGTTGGAGCAGCAGCGCTGCCCCTTGCAGCTCCCACCCTTCATCCCCACTTGTGCCACGCCTCGTGCAAGATGCAGCTGCATGTTCAGAGCACAGAAACACGCTGCCGACGACCGTGGTGATTTATTGCGAATACATCAGAGTGATACGGACATGCAAGGAATGAGCCGCTACGCTGGGGCGTAGCTCTTAACCACGACAGACTTGGCTACGGGGGATTCGCAGGGGATGCCAGCGCAGCGTCGTCAATAAGCGGCCCTACCACAAATGTCACCAGGAGTACAGAGTACTGCCCACTGCTCTGCCTCGCTGCCTTCCCACGCTCGCTCGGCGAGTGCTGCGGGGAAAGCTGTTGCTCCTTAAAAAAGAAAAAGTGAAGCAGAGACACAGAGGAAGGAAAAAAATCTGCAGGGCTGCCGTAGGAAGTGGCAAATCATCCTGTAAAACATGCAGGAGCCGTCCCGGCAATGGGAAGAGCCAGGAGGTGCGCAGGGCACAGCGCCCCGAGTCCCTAGATGACCAGGTCTGTGTTTTTGGGGTGCGGGTGGTGGCCCCCGGCCGGACCCTGCGTGGCAGGGGGCTGGCGGCAGGTGGGGGCTGGTGGCGTTGCTGTCCTCGTGGAGCGGGCGCTGCAGGCGAGGAGCAGCCCACTGGCGGCAAGGAAGGCTCCAGCAAACCACCCCAGGAAGGTGGCCTCCCCAAATTCCCACCGGGGGACGATGTCGGGGATGGTGTCGTCCCAGAAGTCGAGGACGGTGTTGTAGGCGACCCAGGAGACCGGCGCCAGCCTGGCCATCCCCGCCGTGCCGAACACCGCTCCCCCGGCGAGCAGGAGCCGTCGCTTTAGCCCGGGTTTGTCCTCGCAGGCTCTCCAGCCCTCCAGGCCCGGGGCGGCGAGAAGACACCCCAGCAGCCCCAGCCCGTTGGAGAGGCACATCAGGAGGCGGGAGACACGCAGCTCGGGGGGCAGCGCCAGGAAGGAGCCGTGGGCTCGGCACTCGACCGCCCCCTCCTCCCGGGCGATGCAGACCTGCCAGAGCCCCATGGTCCAGACCTCCAGCTCGTTCAGGTCCAGGTTGAGGCTCTTCCAGAGCGGCAC